AAAAAATAAAAAAATTTAAAAATAAAAAAAATTCAAGTATAGAAGATCACTATGTCAAATGCTAAGCCTCATCCCTTAACACTACACCTCAAGTTAACAACTGAATTACAGCGTTAATGTAGATCATTGAGGATCAAACCATATAAATATTCTCCTTCAGTTTCTTTACAATCTTACCAAAAACTCAATCAAATTGTGCGAATTGAATATGTTATTTTACTGTCTTAGAACCCAGCTTCAATTAAAATATCAACACAATGAAAAATCTTGACTTCTTATTTTACAAGAACAACCAAAAAAATGCTCTCTTGTATCAGTTCTTGCTCGTAATGTTGTAGGAGAACTAGCTACCAATCTGATGTGAACTCTGTTGCATGATGTACCTTAGAACCCACATAAGATTTGATCAAGAGAGCTAAAATCAGATGAGTAACCTTGACCCTATGATTTCTTGAATCAAAAATCAAGGTTGAAAGGATTGAGCACCACAAAGATTGTAAATACTTGATGAGTTTTGGATAGTCCAATCAGTTGGACAACTTCATTTGATAAAAACATGTAGAATCAAAATACGCTTTCGAAGTATACTTATGAACAAAAATCCGATTATTGAACTGAAAGTTATACATGTTTTTGTACATCCTATGCATTTTCGTACATGTTTCTTATCCTTCACTTTTCTAATTGGTTTATGATTTTTTTCTTCTAATTAAATGCATCACTACCACTGTTGTAGAAGTTTGATATCTTTTTCAAATGCCAAGGTACACAATGATTTTAGGTATATAGATCATAATAAGAGAAGTATAAGCATACCTTTGGCTTCTTTATTTTTATTTTTTTGAATCTCTACCATTCTGCTTAAGTTTTCAAAGTTGTGCTCATCCAAGACATTATCAGCTTCATAAGTGACACCTTCAAGTATCTTGAGCCAAAGTTTAACACTGCCATCAGTAACTCGGTGCATAGCTGCATCTTCCAATAGTTGCTTGATCATGTGTTGAGATGTTCTTAGCTTTGTTAAGCCTTACTCGAATTCCCTCCCTAGACTCAACTCTCAAGTGACAATAGAGAGAAATTTGTACAATGCAACTTACTCGATTGCACCTTCTTCTACAGCTTTTGATCATAATACTTGAAAAAAAAAAAAAATCGGTAAGCCTTTGATAATCTAAATTCTCGAAACAAAAATGAACACACTTCACCCTATTAGTATAATCACTTAGAATTCACAACAAATTCTAAGAGTTTCATCGGTCTTGTCGAACCAGACCTACTTAAAATCATGGTGTAACCCTCATGCTTAAACATCAATTCCATCATGAACCCACACACCCTACATCAATGTCAAGATAATGCTCATGTGCAAATATGTAGATCTGTTAATAATAACAACAACCTCTATCATAACAAGTAGCACGTGCCATGATAATGTAAATCTTCCTCAAGCGACTTCATAATTGTCTCACGCAAAGAGAGACGATTGTCCCACTTTGAACAGGTAGCTAAGCTGAATAATATTTCCTAACTGACCAGTTTGTCCACAGTTCCAAAAAATTACATTCTTTTACATGAAGTTACTCTTCTTTTCACTTTCATAACGAGTTCAATATGAAATATGAGGCTGGGCAAAAAAAAATGAAAAATCAACCAACTCAATCAAACCGAACAGACTCGAGTAGGTTTGGGTTTGTTCGATATAGGTAATTGGTTTTGTTTGTTTTTTTTTAAACAAAACAATGGTGGGCCGGTTTAGTTATGGTTTGAAATTTCAAACCGTTGGTTAACCGAACTAGCACTACCCACTTACGTGTTCGTCTTTTTTTTTTTTTTTAATTTAAAAAAATAAAATTCAGAAGATAAACTCTAATTTCATAGTTATATGCCAATTCCCTTCAATCTATAATGTTGCCAGTAATTGATAGCACTAAAAATTTTTTCACAAGCTTATTGTGTGTGTGTGTGTGTGTGTGTGTGTGTATATTCAGCCAGTTAAACTACATAATACACAAAAAAGCAATAAATTTTCAGATTTTTTGTTGATCCATCTCTATTAACCTAATTTTATTTATTAGTCAATAATTCTCATAACATAAAATTATTTGATTATTTTAGTTCTTTTAATTTAAGTGCACCTAAAATTTGGATAATTTCTTTTAAAAGAATTTAATTTCGATTAAAAGTCCAAACCAATTAACCAAACGAACCGATTTGGTTTGGTTTGGTTCAGTTTAAGAGTTAGAGATGGTTGGTTGAAATTTGTTCGAACCAACTAATTTGATTTTAGTTTCAGGTTGGAGTCGAAACCAAACCACGCCCAAGCCTAAATATTACTTTCACCCACCCTTCTTTCTTCAAAATCTATGTACATGTAACTTTGGCAGTTCCGTTTTCTTAGTCAAGATAGCTTTGATGTGCCATAAGAAGATAGAAGAGATCAGATGAGTTTTAACGCTTTATCATTATAATCATCCTCCATTTTAGCTCCAATAATCTCCAATTTAAAAATAACGATTACACTGAGAACACTCAAATTATAGAAGACATTGAATTAAATTGTTCCTTCACATACAATCAATTTGAAAAATTCTTTGTCTAATATAATTTTTCAAGTTCTTTAAAGCTCCTTTGCAATAGGACATTTTTCACAAGACAGAGACATGTCATACTTGCAATTTTCAAATCCAAATTTTCTCAATCTCTATTGCTCTTTTTGGATGTTTTAACATCTTTATCGAAATGAGGAATTTTTAAAAGCCTTGAGTAACCTAGCATGAATCAAGATATCCTCGACTCGTGCTTTTCAAGGGATAAAATTGAGTATCTTATCAAATTTCTACAGGTTATATTTCGTACTGGCCATATTTTCCCTTTGTTCCAACACTCGAACCACTTGTAAACAATATAAACTAATTTGATCAATCAACCAAAGGAAGAAGAAGAAGAAGAAGCAATTCTTGAACTGCCAAAAAAGTAGGTTTCTATTAAGTGAATTATGTTAATATACATACAAGAAGACCAAAACTAAAATAAAATCTACCAAAGAAAGGAAACTAATAATAATATGCATAACCATTATATTATAACATCCCCCTCAAACTCATGATGCGACAGTAAAAAGTAGCGAAAATTTGTCAAGCAAGAAGCGAGAACGATGAATCACATGAGATTTCGTGAAGAAGTCAGCAAGCTGCAACGATGAAGAAAGAAAAGATGGGGAAATGGTACCAATTTGCAGATGATGACGAATTAGATGTCGGTCAATCTTAATATGTTTTGTGTAACTAACGCGACCATATAATCTCAGTGGTGGTGGATGTCATAGCACGATACTCTGCCTTAGTAAATGAACGAGAAACAACAGTATGTTTTTTACTCTTTCAATAGATAAGAGAATAACCCAAAAATAAACAAAAGCCAGTAGTGGACTTTCGATTAGTGGGTTTATTGGCCCAATCAGCATCAGATTAAGCAAGGGGTACCAAAGGAGAGGTTAAAGAAAATAGAATACTTTGAAAAGCAAGTACCACGAAGTAATTTGGTTGAGGCAGGATCATTTTGCCAATTGCCTCCTTTTCAAATCGGACTTTGCCATCTTTCACTTCTGTCTATTTACGAATGGGAACAATAGAAAACAATAATCATATCAATACATGAATTCTTGTTTGCCATAGAAGTCTTCTTGAGTTGGAAGGCAGTAATATCAACGATAATAGACATTCATATGCAAGTAAAGAGGAAATTTCTTTGACACTTTTAGAGCATGAAATTGATTTTGTCCATTGCTTTTTTGATTTATGAAAAATGTATATACCTAAAAACAATTTAATAAATATATATATTTCCACCTTCAAAGGCGAAGGGACGATTGTTGCCAAAGTATATGCCTTCGATTCTCACGTAGATTAACTTATCTGAATAGCTAGCATCATGTCAGAAAGATAATTATTTGAATAGTACCCGCTAAAAGGAATATAGACAAATATTAAACTTTAAAGTGGTTAGATTGATGGGAAGAAGGGAGAACATATCAACAAGGCAACTCTACTTATCCATCAAGTTGCCCCCAGGACATATCTCCCAGTGGCAAAGGGGAGGTCGGATAGGGCTCAACGCGACAGTGTGCAGAGTTCGATTCCCCGCAAGGTGGAATTGGTTTTGTTGCAAGCGGGAGTTACCATATGGGTTAACAGCCTTGGCCTATCCATGTGCTCTCCACCCTGGCTCCTGGGAGGCACATCCTGCGATTTACCTCCTCCACGATGGCCCAGAGCAGGGTCGGTGGGGGCCCCTAAGGTTGGGGTTCAACCTTTTTTTTTTACTTATCCATCAAGTTGAGCCCCAGCCACTAACCACAGCCTACATTTACCAATTTCTCGTTCCTTTTTTGCACAAATTTTAAATAATTTAGACATTTTCATCAACTTTTTTCGATACTCTCATCAAATTAAACAAAGTTGAAGAGAATCTACAATTAATCGAGACACATCTATGGTGTCTATCTTTTTTCGTGAATTTTGAACATCTAGATTTTCTTGCCAAATTAAGCCCTTGTTTGATACATATTCTTTAAAACTCATTTTATTCCAAACTCATTTTTAATCATACATTTTTCAATTAATATTATTGCACGTGAAAACATAATTTTCGTCCATTTCTTAACTACATATTCTCTAAAATATTACTTAAAATTTATTTAAAAAAACTTTAAACATGTCGTAAGTAAAATTGGAAATTTACACCCACATATATTTTTTAACTTTTCAATCCGAAAATCAAGTTTAAATGTTTTTTATTAAAAATAATTAGATGATAACTCAAATTTTTAATATTATATATTATTATTAAATTAAATTAATTTACACATCCACCTCATGACCCCTTCCCATCTGATCACATGATTCACATCCACCCTCACCAATTTTCACTCACAAACCTTAATCATTTCCCTTCTCTATTCTCTCTCTTCATCTTACTTTTCTCTATCTTCTTACTCATATATGGACGCCGTCGGAAGATCTTCTTCCGTCCAGCGCCACTTTACTCGCTTCCTCTCTCTATCCTCTCCATCGCGCATGGGTGCCACCTAAAGATCTTTCACCGACCGATGTGCAGGCGAGAGCCGCCATGAGGCCGTGCTCATGGAGGTGTGAGTGCTACTGCGAATCGATGATAAAGTTTTTGGGATAGTTTCTTCGTTCTCCGATCTCCTATTTAGCCGGAATTTTGGGATGATTTTTGTTGGTATTTTGCTGATGATTGTGATAGTGATGGTAAGGTGGTGCTGACAATGGTGTTGCTCACGATTATGGTGAGATGGTGGTGGTGGTGTTGACGTCAACAGTGCAAGTGGTGGTGGTGCAGACGACGACAGCATTGGTAAGGTCGTGGTACACCAGGTGGTGATGGTGCTAAAGGTGGTCATCATGCGGTGTGATTGTTGGTCGGTGTTGGATGGGGTGGGATGTGAGTGTTTGTGACCAATAAATTAATTAATTTGTGATCAATAAAATATATCATTTGTAAACAATAAATAATGTGCAATTTCAGAAAATGTGAGACTAGATTAAATTTGTAATCTTGACTCATATTTTGTTAAATTATGATTAATTATTTGATAATTTGTGATTCTAAAATAAGTTGTGACGTATAAAAAATGTGATAAAAATTTAATAAATTGTGATCGAGAAATAAGTAGTGATCTTTAAAATTTTTAATTTGTGATCGAAAAAATACGTGATCAATTAATTTGATATTTTATCATCGATAAGTAAGTTGTGACAAATAAAATTTGTGGTTTGTGATTGTAACATTATATAGTTTGATTAGTACATTACTGCACCATAAAATGTATAATATTGTGACATTAATATATTTAATTAATAAAATATTTTGAATTATCTATTTAATTAATAAATTATAATCAAGACTTGATATTTGATATTTTAAAATAAATTTCTTATTTTTGAAAGTATATCTTTTTTAAACACCTTAGATATGTAACGTTCCTAAGTAAAAGTTACGAGAGTTTGAGTCAATTTAGATACTCAGCTTCGCCTACAATCATTTTTAACGATAAAATGACCCGGTTTAATAAACTTGATAAAATGACTCCATTTAGTAAAGTTTGTGGAGAAAGTCCAATTCATAAATAAATAAAAAAATAAAAATAAAAATTATAATTAGAAAAATATGTATACATTAAACTTAGTGACATTCCAGAGTAACTTTGATAATACCTTTCGTGAGCTACAGATAGTGAGCTCCAGAGGTGTTGCAAAAAATATATTTTACAAATTTTAATAGGAATAGGTAAAACTCCTGAACTAAATCGAATTGAATTATTCGTTTTGGGTATTCTTAGATTAAATACCCGTATGGACACTAGAATCGGGAACCGACAGATTTGGTTCAGTTGTCGATTCTAAACCAAGAATCGAAAAATCAAATTTTCCTAATTTTTTTAATTTTTTTTTTCGAAGAAGCCAAATTATTTTTTTATCTAAACAAAATTTTCAATTAAATAATTAAGGGATTAACTCAGGCTATTATTATTTTTTAAAGCAATCAATGGATTGGAATCATCAATATTTTAGCTGTATTATTTGGTTTTTAATAATTTGTATACATTGTTAAATGAATCTTATTAGAGAACTTATTATTTGTATATTTTTGAATTGGACTGTGTTATTTAGTAATAGTTAAAATTGAACATATTATTATTGAATTAATGTAGTGTTGTTGTAAATGTTAAAAAAAATAATTATGATATGAACAGAATTGAATCGAGCCGAACGGTTTGATTACATAATTAAATTTGGATTCGATGATTCCGCTTATTAAATACCTAAAAATTTAGGTCCAAATCGATTCTCTTTAAAACCGAAACATGTCCAAGTTTAAACTTCATGTGAAGTTTGAAGTTTAAACTTTACCAAACATACTGCAAACTCGAAAAAATAAATAAATAAAAATTAAAGCACCATGGTAACCTGAAATTAAGAATTTTTTGACAAGCCAGAGCCACTAAAACTTCAACTACACAAATGCAAAGGGCCGTATTGAACTAGAACCTTGAGTCATGTCGGATGATCGTGGACAGTTGAATTGACATTTTGAGTCTAAAAGACATAAGTATCATTATATATTAACAAAAATGACATAAATATCACTATTGTTATGTTTGGAACAGAAATGACATAAATATCGCTATTGTTATGTTTGGAACAGAAACGACATCAATATCAAAATGTTTGTAATGAAACAAACCCAACATTGTTATGTTAGTTTGACTATTGTTTCATGCTCCAATCGACTCAAAGCATGTTAATGAGTTCAAGCATCACTTTCAAGTGAAATCATTCGATTCAACTTAGGGGCGATCTCGTATCGACCACTTTGAAGTTCTCAGAATTGTCCACCACCTTCAACGTTCTCTAGTGAAAAGAAAGCATTTTAGTTCGCTGTTTTTCATTATCCCAGTGGGATCATCCCTTTCGATAATCGTTTTTCAATCCTATAGACATGTTAGAGGCATGCTGGGTGACCGTGGACAATCAAATCGGTATTTTGAACCAAAACGAGATAAATGTCATTATGTATAAACAAAAATGACATTGATATCGCTATAGTTGTGCTTTGGATAGTAACGATATCAATATTAAACTAAATATTGGCTTTATTGCTCAATAAATTAACTCGAGTTTCGGCTCTCTTTATTTTTTTCTCTTTACATTCCATTACTCTTAAAATACACCATTTTACTCGACGGAGGTTATGAAATAATTTTCTTTTCTAACTAGTTCCAATTTCTTAATTAGAGATTAATAGAAAATATTAAGTGAGAAATCCAGATAACTAACATTTGACAGGATGTTAAATCTTCAGATACAAGTTTAATTGAACCCCAACAAGGAAAAAACTGCAATAAAAATATGGAAAGTTAAAGACTACCGTAATTAATGAAACTATGAATTCGATCAGGAGTTTCCATTATTCGTTTATTCATTCACTTCAATTACTTCTTAAAGATCTAACACTTAGATGGAATGTTTTCAAATGCTTATCAGAAATAATAAGGAAACAAACTCAAAATAACGGATAGTTCTAACTACAATTACAATCAGATTATTCCCTATATCCTAGTTCTAGCGGGAGTCATTTCTCATGAAGGAGAATCAGAGGAAATTAACTATAAAACCCAAACTTTCATTCATTTTCTCCTATATACTTTGTTTCAACTTCTGGTCAAGGAAAAGAAAATTAATGGGTTTCTGGAGGAAATATCGCATTCTTGGTGCAGGTACCTACGGAACAGTACATTTAGCAGCAAAGGTCGATCCTCCTCTTTTAGTTTCTACTGCGGCCGTGAAGTCCGCCGTCTTTCCGTATTCAAACTGGGTGAAGAAGGAGGGAGAAATTCTGTTCGAATTGAGAGGTTGTCGTGAAATCGTCCAGTGTTTTGGGGAAGATATAAGTTTTGAAAACAATAGAGAGGTCTATAATCTTCTCCTCGAATATGCTTCCGGTGGATGCCTCACTGATCTGATCATCAAAACTGGAGGATATATGCCAGAATCTGTCATTGCGTGTTACAGTTATATGCTGCTCAAGGGCCTCTCTCACGTCCACGAGAAAGGGTTTGTTCATTGTGACATCAAACCCGCCAATATTCTTGTCTTTCCTAGCCAAGATGGTTCTTCTTTACACAATCTCAAGATAGCAGACTTTGGACAGGCCAAGAAAATCGGAGAGGAGGTGAAAATCTTTAATCCTGGGCGATCGACTCACAACAGAGGGGCACTGCTCTATTCGTCTCCAGAATCGATAGCTTTGGGGATTCACAAGCCAGTTACTGATATATGGTCTCTTGGTTGTATCATAGTGGAGATGATCACAGGGAAACGCATTTGGTCGACTACTCGGAGTGATTCAGAATTGTTTCAGCAGATTGGATTTGGTAATCCAATACCCGAAAATATTTCCGACACCGCGAAAGATTTCTTGAACAAATGCTTGGCCAAGAAACACGAACAGAGATGGACGGCCGACATGCTATTGAGTCATCCATTTATTGTCAAGAATTTGGCAACGTTGCCTCCAAATTTCGAAGATCGAGTGATGTTCTCTCAGATTAATCCCTTTTCGACTGGTATATGGGCTTCTACATTGAACCTGTTTACTACTCCACCTAAGCTTCATCTTCCATATCCTCACCAACTTTGTGCATTACCCCGCAAGATTAATCAGAATGTTGGTGTTCGCTATCTATTACCTTAGAAGCTATATCAACTGCTTGGTATCTTTTGGAAACCATCTGGGAAAAAGTTGATATCTAGTTTAGAAATTTATAATATTTTGAATTTTCTTGGTTTTTTTGTTGTTTGCAAGAAAGTTTAGGTGGATGTTTATGTAGATTTTGTTTAGTCATATTATAGTTCCAGGTATTACTTTTTTCAGTTAGGTTATTTCTGGTTTGCACATTCAGTAGTGCTTGAGATACACGTAATTTTGGAATAAATTTCAATTTTATTATTCTCATTGATTCATGAATTTTAATGTAATGACTTCGATAGTTCTGCTCATAAATGTATGGATAATCCAGTTCAAATTTTTCATAAGAATATATACTTTTTTATATTGTTAATTCATTACTTAAATGATTCCTATTACACTTCCATTAATCATCCTTTTCTTAACGACATCAATGTCGGTTTTTTATTTTTATTTTTTATTTTTAAATTTGAAACTACTTCAACTTCGTTATGTGAAACCGTATATTTTTATCATATCATGTTAGATTCGTACACAGGGTGCAAATCTTTTTATGGGCATTCAATGTCGTTATTATCTAGAATGACTTCAATGACGTTATATGGAGCAATAATTTTTTTTTAGCATAACGGGGTTTGTTATTTTTGTCACAACAACTTCAATGTCGCTATTTCATATTTTTAATGCGATCCAAGTCATTTTTACCATAAAAAACTTCAATGTAGATATAGTTGTGAATAACGATTTCAATGTCATTATCGATTCACATAAAACGACGAGATTCATGTGAGAATATCCATATTACTCCGCTTCAATACTTACATTGCAACCAATAAAATTTTTAAATTAGGACAAAACAAGATTTCGAAAATCATAGAATCAATTACAATTACATGATTAATTGTTACTATGAATGTGCTGTAAATATCAAAATTCTACAAGTGACAATCTAAGGCTCAAAATTCCATGCTAATTCGGCACCTGATTTTTTCCTCCACATAAATATACAATCCAAGCGAATTGCATTTGCATCCATTCTTGCTAGTAAAAACTTTATGCACTTCCAAGAGAATATCCCATAGTCAAAACTACAAATTCATTGTGTAGTTATGTTAATTCTCTCAAAAAATAATGCAATACCTAATAAATATAAGGGAACTTTATAGCAACGGTCCCTCACTTTTTCATTTTTTGCAAATTTTATCCTAACCTTCAATTTGTGTCGGCAGAGGTTCCTAACATTTCATAAATATGCACCTGAGGTCCATATAGACGAAAACTGTCCAAAATACCATCAGTTGACCTAGAAAATTAAGGAATCAACATCTGATAACACCGTCCAAAAAGTTATCAACATCTAATGAAACCATCGCGATAGCTGATAGTTTAAGGAATTTTCCGATCAACTGACGGTGTTATGGATGATTTTTGTCCAGATGGACCTCATGTGCATATTTATAAAGGTTAAGGACGTTCGCTGATACAAAATGAAGATTAGTGAAAAGCTTGCAAAAAACGAAAAGATTAGGGACTGCTACTGTAATTTTTCCTAAATTTAATATTGATTGATCCAGGATTAGAAATTAAAAAGCATTCTTCAAATGCCAAAAAATCAAAGCTAGTGGATCTCTTTATTTGCTATCATTTTATGGATTAGACTTGGTTTTGCCTTAAACTTTATTCCGGACCAAGACTTAAAAGAGGAGATACTACACAAGCTATAAAAGTTATTATTTGATAGGCTACTATGGCTTCCTTTGGAGCTTATATACATGAAACATTGTCTCACTTATCATATTTTGGAATTTTGCATTAACCTGAATTTCGCCTTTTGCCAATTTTTTATTTTTTATTTTTGTCCCATTTTGTACACTGAATCAGAGTCAAAGTTTAAATGAAAACTGATATTTTATTGAATGAGGTTTATCTGGCAGCCTACTGGGTGATTACCTGGAAAGTAATGCAAGTTCAATGGTAAATTTTGGTTCTCAGTCATACAGATGTTTTATAGAATGCACACAGCAGTGGGGCTCACACCAATAAAATATTCACATGAACCCACTCACATCCACTCCATGTGAGTGCCCCCGTAGAACATCTGTGAAATTTTCCTGTGCACGGGTGTTTTCCTTTTTTTTACTATCTGGTTCTCTTCCCATTATTGAAACCCAACTTATAAATTAAACCCAAACCCAAGTATAGTAATAAACAAACAAGAATGGAAATGCATACTTAGAAACATAGAAATTTATAGTGGTTTACTTTCGTATCAGAACAACATCGACTAGGCTCTAAAAATCGAGATGATTTCAAGTAAAACTAAGAAGGAAGAAGTTTCAAGGAAGACTCACAACTGTGATTCGAAAGTCAGCATGAGAGTGAAATGGGGAAGATGACAGTGAAATTGCAAAAAAAAAAAAAAGTGGGGGGTGGATTTCAAATTGGTTTTACATGTATAGGCTAAAATTGTCATTTCACATTTATTAAGGTTTGGTATTTATTTTTATTTTCTTTTACATGATCAAAGGCCTCATAGCTAAATACAGTAGTAGACAATGCCATTGTTCCTGATTCGCCAATTAAAAGGGCACTTTCTAAAAAGGCTCTGTCAACAATACCGTTTTCCATTTTGATCAAAAAAATATTTGCCATTCACCAGAATGTCCTCTTAATGCATAAAAGATGAAATTACCCTCATGGTATTACACAATTGCAAAAATATGATATTGTTTAAAAGACTATTATACCCTTCTAAGTTACAAAGAATTCCAAATACTTCCAATTTAAAATTTCAAAACAAATCACTTTTTTATTTATTTACTCCAACACAAATAGAAACTGTTTCATTTTTCATCTGCTTCAACTTTAAAATCTCATAAATTTATCGAATGCTCAACAAAAAAATTATTATTTCTAGTCAGCATTTCGAATCAGTAAGTATATTTACATATTTTTAATTTCGTTTTCATTGAATTAGTAAATTATTTTAATCGTTAAATCTTATTTTTACATAGCCAAATAAATTTTTACAATTTTATGTCGGCATCGGTGATGTTGATTATTTATCAACTTAATTTGATAATTTGTGATCGAGAAATAAGTTATGATCCTTAAATTTTTTTATTTGTAATCGAAAATACCCATCGTGAATATTTTTGGCATTGGGATAGCTATTCCACCCATTTCGTCAAGATAAACAAGACGTATTCTATCATAAGTCGTTCCTGCCAAGAAAAAAAGTGCAGCACCAATAAATCCATGAGAGATTATTTGTAAAAGGGCTCCATTGAGCCCTGTATCGGTGATAGAACCAATTCCTATAATTATGAAACCCATATGAGATACAGAGGAATAGGCTATTCTTTTTTTTAAATTCCGTTGACCGAGAGATGTTGAAGCTGCATAAATTATTTGCATTGCGCCTACTATGATCAACCAAGGAGAAAATATAGAATGAGCATGGGGTAATAATTCCATATTGATCCGAACTAATCCATATGCTCCCATTTTTAATAAGATTCCGGCTAGAAGCATACAAGTACTATAATGCGCTTCTCCATGGGTATCTGGTAACCATGTATGTAGGGGTATAATCGGCAATTTGACGTTCTCGCGTTCTTGAATCGATTGGAGTGGAATGATGAATCTATTTCTCCGCCTCTTTGAGAATAAATCAGAATTCTGGTGGAGAATGGTCGGATATATGAGATTACAACGACCATTACATCTAATTCGGTTAAGGTCCAAATAATCAGAAATCCTATCTTCTTCTTTTTTTTTACCATAAAAATACGAACTAAAGAGTTTTTGTCTCTCCGGATCTACTTTGATATTTTATCATCAATAAATAAATTGTGGTATATGAAATTTGTGATTGTGAAATTTCGTGGTTAGATTAGTACATAATTGTACCATAAATTATATAATATTGTGTCTTTAAGCTATTTAATTAATAGAATATTTTAATTATCTATTGAAATTATAAATTCTAATTAAGATCTGATATTTGATATTTTAAAACAAATTTCTTAATTTTGAAATTATATCTTTCAAACACCTTAGATATGTAATTAGAATTTAGAGGATATTTGATGTTGAAGAAATTGCTATAGTTATCAGAATTGTGACATTGAAGAAATTGGCTCACAGGATATGAATGTCTCAGTACAAGGATTTTCATGAATTGAAACAAAAAAATTGATAGTTGTACTGTTTATCATTTGTTCAAGTTTTGTCACATTAAATTACCTCAACAAGATTTTAACGAGATTTCCTTTTTTTTTTTTTTTTTTTATTTGGCATTTTTGTCACATTGATATTTTTTCAAAAAAAGTCTTAGCGAAATTGTTATTATGTAATCATTGATTCAAGGATGAGTGTTATAAATTAAATATTTATAAATGAAAATAGTATCATTATTGCTCAATAAATTAACTCGAGTTTTGGCTCTCTTTGTTTTTTTCTCTTTATATTCTATTACTTTAAGTTTTATAACAAATTTCGCCTTATAAGAATTTTACTCCATTTTCTTTTCAACTTATGCGGTAAATTGTTTATATCAAAATAAATAAGAAACAATTAAAATGTGGAAAATTCTAAGGAAACTTAAAAAATTAAAGCAAGTTTATTCAATTTTTATATTTTTATATTATTATTATTATTTTTTTTTTTTGAAACACACCATTTTACTTGATGAAGGTTATGAAAATAATTTCCTTTTTTCACCAGTTCCAAGATTAATAGAAAATTTTAAGTGAGAAATCTAGATAACTAACATTTGACAGGATGTCAATTCTTCAAATACAAATTTAATTGAACTCCAACAAGGAAAAAACTACATTAAAAATATGGAAAGTTAAAGACTATCGTAATAAATGAAACTATGAATTCGATCAGGAGTTTCAGTCATTTGTTTATTCATTCCCATCAATTACTTGGTAAAGATGTAACACTTAAAAGGAATGTTTTCAAATACTTATCAGAAATAATATTAAGGAAACAATCTG